TTACCACGACAAGAAATATTAAAATCATCCACAAAAGTGATCCATCGATTGAATCATTTAAAACATTAGATAAACTGTTGATCTTGATACTAAACAATGTGACAGACAAAATACTGACTGTAATGGTCAGACACGGTTGAACCCACTCGGACTTGAAATTGCCTGTCATATATAATATAAATTGAGGCAAACGGCCTCGTAATCCAAAGTCGTGTAAATCTTTTAAAATCCCCTGTTTCAATGTCGTGTATTATGCTTTTTCTAAATCGAAAAAGATCGACACTGCATGTTGTTTATTAATTATGGCATTCTTAACAAAAGATTCTAAACGCACTAAATGATCGACAGTACTTCTGTTTTTACGGAAACCACATTGTATATCTGTTATTAAGTTATTGGATTCCAAGTACCAAACAAGTCGATTGTTGATCATGCGTTCCATGGTTTTGCAAACGCAGCTAGTAAGTGAAATTGGTCTATAATTAGAGGGATCACGTCCAGGTTTAGGTATGGGAACAATAATAGCATCACGCCATGACGAAGGAAATTTCCCTGACGTCCAAATATCATCAAAAATGTGTAAGAGCGTCTCTAAACATGATTCAGGCAAGTGCTTCAGGAGTTGATAATGTATGTTATCAGCTCCTGAAGCAGTATCGTGAGCCTGATCAAGAGCAGTATGAAGCTCATGTATCGAAAAGGTTTCGTTGTAATCTTCCCCCATTATCTGAATTGAAATTGATAGCTTTTGTTTCTTTCTGTTTTTCATATTTTTGGAATTCAGGTACATAATTAGATGAGGAAGAATGTTTAGCCAACGTCTCACCAAGTTTATTTGCAATATCTGATTTATTGGTCAATAATTGGTTCCCATCTTTTAGATGGTGAATACTAGATTTAGTACCCTTACCCTTGATTTTTTATAATCATATTCCACACCTTTGATATAGGTGTGCGCGAATTAATTTTTGATACATAGTTTCGCCAAGATTGGCGTTTACTTTGCTTGAACGTACGTCGTGCTTTAGCGTTTAAAATTTTAAATTTGTCCAAATTGTTGACCATAGGATGGCGACAGAAATAGTGCTCGGCTTTCTTCCTTCCCTTCCTAGCCTGTTTGCAATCATTGGTAAACCATGGTTTTCGTACGTGAGGAATTGCAGAGGACTTTGGGAAACACTCGTCAGCTGTTATTTAGTTCATCTGAAAAACATTTTCAAACAAGTTCGGTTTTTAGTTTGTCAGCACAAAGAGTTTCATATAAAGGCCAGTTGGCCTTTTTAAAATTCCATCTTGATGATGGAGGAACATCAGTTGGATTCACGTGTTTTAGTATTGTTGGGAAATGGTCACTACCACAGAGATCATCGTGGACTGACCATTCAAATTCACTCAATAGGTTGGAGTCAGTAATAGACAAATCAAGAGCTGAATATGTTCCTGTGCCAGGATGTAAATACGTATTTGAACCGTCAATATAAATGCATAAATCGTTGTTTGAAATAAAATCCTCCAGTAATTTACCTTTGGTATTTGTATTATTGCCACACCAGAGTGGGTTGTGGCCATTTAAATCAACCCATGATTATACAGGGTTTAGGTAGTTGATCATAAAGAGCTTGCAGATTGCTTAGTTGAACAGACGACGATGGCGGAATGTATAGAGAGCACAGAATGAATGCAACGTGCAACGTAAGTCCCACAGCAACGGCTTGGAGATTTGTTGTGAGTGTAAATGGGGCTATGGATAACATTTTGCCTCACCAGGATTGACGATCCACCAGTAGATCTGTCACCCGGTGGAGAAAAAGAGTGATAAGCATTGAATTGACGTAGGTCAAAATTATCTGTCTGTTTCAGATAAGTTTCTTGTATGGAGAGTGCTGACGGTTGAACATCTTGGATTAATAACTGTAAATCATTCAAATTATTCCGAAGTCCTCTTACAATTCCATTGTACTCGGAGGTTAACAGGAGATCTACCCTTCACCTTCCTTGAAGGCGACAAGCTATGAGTCCTGCCATGGCTTTGGTCGGACACATCCATGTCATCAAGGGATTCAAAATTTGGATATGGTTATTCGCTCCTTTTGGTGTTCTTCCACTATAATTCGTTTTGGACGTTTCACTGTTTTGTTTTGAATTGCTTTTTGCAATTGGTTTGACAGTTGGTTCTGGGATAGTTGACCGTTTCTGAGATGTATCTATCTCAGGTGATGCCTTTGATTGAGAAATACTTTTCGATTAGGCTGTGGTTTGTGAACTGCAGGTCACTTGTGAAGGCCGTGACTGGACTTCAGCAGATAGAAAGGTAGGTGCAAAGTCCTTGCCCATGTATAGTCTGTCTGACAACCTACAGAATGACAAGAAATATGTTTTGGCTTTGAGGCCTGAATAGATGCAGAAACTGCGTTAGAATATGTTGGACCTGGTTGTTCTTGTGAAAATACAATTTTCTTTGCCTCTGAAAATGGTATATTACGCTGATGCTATAATTGAGAAATTTTGATTGAAGCTTCCAAGTAGGACAATCCTTGAAAGCAGATGGGTGATTGCCAGAACAATTGACCCAGGTAGGAGAATCGTTACAAAGATCACTGTCTTCACACTTTCCAGCACATTTGTAACATACAGTCGGGTTATGGCAAGATTTTGACCCGTGACCATACTTTTGGCAGGTATAGCACCTCAAGAGATTTGGGATAAATGTATCGACCTTCAGGTGGCAGTATCCGGCCTTCAGTGATGTTGGATGTACAGGAAGGCAAAACGTGAACAAATAAGTATTTGTATTGATGGTCTCATTATTCCTTCTTGCAGTGAAGCGTTTCACGTGTGTTACGCCTTGCGATTGTAATTCAGTAACGATTTCAATCTCGGTCATGTCTGAGAGGCATCGTCCATTATCACGAATGATGCCTTTACTGCTATTCAATGTCCTGTGAGGGGACACCTCCACAGGAACATTTGCTAATGATCTCGATGAGAGCAGAATCTGAGATTGTATGAGCTTTCGACATTCGATGAGCAGTAAACCAGATCTTAGTTTTTTAGTTTCCTTGACGTCACCTGCCAAACCTTCGATTCCTTTCGCTACTGCTAAAGTATTTAGCTTAAGAGATCCACCATCTGGTGCTGACATAACAAGAAAACGAGGCCAGTTGTCCGGGTTTGTGATAACTGCAGGAGCCTCATCCTCAGAAGAAAACGAATCTTCAGACTCGTGAGAGCGTTTTTTTAGTGGGGGTGCCATGGTATAATTCATCCTTCTAGCTCACCACCCACCATGGAGTGTCAACAAGGACGATGCCTCATATCTGTGGGTTTCCAACAGACAATTTTGACGTCGATAAAACGCATACTCTTCTGTGATTCGTCACTGAACCATACTCGTCGCCAGTTTTGTATATTCTGGAATCGAACCACTGCACCCGTCGACGTCGATGTAGTCACCGCAGCACACGGCCAAAATAGGGTCCGGCTTCTCGTAAACAATTACCAATAGTTTGTGCCGACTTTCTCCACAGCATTTGCAGTTGCAGTTGCAGTTGCATTTTACAGCAGTTGCTGTGGCTGTGGCTGTGGCAGATTCCGCAAATGAAGTGACCGGATGTACCTATCCCGTTCTGCAGTGGTAATCCACTTCGAGGCAGATCTTGCATTGAATTGGTTCGTTGTTATCGGTCCCATAAACGATTGATGGTAATCTGGTGAACATTGAGGTGATGTGCAACGGCAGACTGAGACTCCCCAGCCTCAAGACGTCCAATGGCAATGTTTCATTTTACAGCGGTTACTCTTGGCATTACAATTCCATGTACACAAACCATCATTACAAATACTAATTGTGAAATATATCTGAAATTTCATACATCAATATCAACTATGCGAGGTGAGTGCTCCATTTTAAGCATATATATTTGAGTCACTAGAACAGCCTCAACAGAACTGTCTGTGGCTGATACTCTGAGTTATTTACGTTCCCTTATGATGGGAAAATCCCATACCAGTATGTTTCACTGCGGTTGATTGAATATAGATTGGTTGGTTGATTTGTTGTTTAACGCCGCATTCAGCAATATTCCATCTATATGGCGGCGGTCTGTAAATAATCGAGTCTGGACCAGACAATCCAGTGATCAACAGCATGAGCATCGATCTACGCAGTTGGGATACGATGACATGTGTCAACAACATCAGCGAGCCTGACCACCCGATCCCGTTGGTCGCCTTCTACGGTAAGCATCGGTTGCTTAAGACTAATTCTAACCCTGATCTTCACGAGTGATTAAATATAGACGAAAATGGGAACATTTGAAATTATAAATTAAAACAAAACGTTTCAAAGTCGAACAACTGGCTTTGTTTTACTTACATTATTCAAAATAAAATGCCTTTTCCTAAAGAAGAATCCCCTCAACTATTTGTATTTAGTAATTAATGCTATGCCCTCTTGAAAGGACGCTACTGAATACAAGTGATTAATATGAAGGGTTACCTTTCATTTCTGAAACAAAAATAGCATGGGAAATTCTATGGAACAAAGCTATTTTGTCCTTTACACCAAACGGAATGAGTTTCTAATGGCAGTCAAACCTGAGTTTTCTTTTCTCTGATAATTTATATCTATCTCTAAATGTTTAACTGAGGCAAATGTAGATTGTTATTTTGAAATCGGAACTCTGTCTGGTATTTATTATGGCAATATAGAAGTGGTTAAAGAAAACTTAGAAATAAAAACAACTCTATTTATCTCCGTGAATATAACCCCATGAAGACCTGCTGGAATAATTTTAAAACTACCAGAAACAATCCACCAGCAAGGTCTCAATCTATATTCCTTGGTGCCTCTCGAACATATCTATTTAATAGCCTCTATGTGGATGTGGAGGGTAACATGCCTCCTTGAAAACAACACCGTCACGTGTTAACTTGTGTCTTCAATATATATCAAGATCACGTTCTAATCCCTCCAATCCTGCTTATATGGTGATCTATAGCTGGGTTCTATTTTGCATTGTTCTCTATGGTGGTATTATCTTCATGATAACATGATAGTTTTTCTCGTCACGATATAGCTCAATGATTGCCTATGGGACGTTACAATGTAACTCCATTTAAGAATATAATTTGCGAAAAAAGTAATTTAAAGTAGTGTGCACCTGTTTGAATAAGTTCTTAGATCGTAAAGACCGTGGAATTTTCTTAAGTAAACACATTACTTTTTCCAGAACCTGGTGGCATGTATGAATGGTGCGCAGATGGCAATTGATGTTACATCAGTGGCGCCGTATGCTTCAAGGAACAATGCAAGTGTACCCCTGGTCTCAGCTACCACAAGGCGGAACAAGCGTGTGTTAGAAAGTGAGTCATATATATTGTTGGTTTCTTGTTTAACGCCGCACTTAGCAAAATATATTTTTAGTTATATGGCGGCAAAATATATAGTATATCCTGCAAGTCAAATATGATTAGGGTATCCAATCACCATTTCGACATGCGATTGTTTCATGAACCCACAGGAAACAGTAAATTCATTATAATCGGAAACCAATTATATGAGACTCCACGATGAAAGTATCAACCATCAATCACATAATTAAAAGTTTCATGACCGACGGGAGCCTTCAAACATTGAGGAATCGACGTTTTCATTTTACTACAGAAGGCTTATATAACACATGATAATCGTGAAAGAGCATTATGGCCGCTGGTAGCTTGCCTCTAACGTACATGGGGTGGCGGGGTAGCCTTGTAGTTAAAGCGTCTGCTCGTCACGACGAAGACCCAGGTTCGATTCCCCACATGAGTAAAATGTGTGAAACCTGTTTATAGTGTCCCCTCCGTGATATTGCTGGAATATTGCCAAAACCGGCGTACATCAATGACACCCACAGGTCAAGGACAAAGGTTTATATTTCACTTTAGGACGATCATATACTCAGTTCTTGCCAGCTAAAGATGCTTTGAAAAGCCTACGTCACTTGAGAAACGCAAAGGTACTTTGAAAAGCAACCTCCTCGTGGTGAGTGTTGGGTAACGCTGATAGCTCTTTTCCGAGTAGAACCGGAGAGAATAAGTCCACAGCAAATTGGGGTTGCGCCCGTGGAGGTTGAGCATAGGATCTGGTGGTTGAGGACGAAGGAGCCTGTAACACAAATTTTTGCCTTACCTAGCCCATTTTATATTGTATTGTTCTAATAGAAACTTTAGAGATACATGCTAGTTTTGAATTTTGTTTCTGTGATATGGTCTGAAAAACTGATTTGGACTTTTGACACTAAGATCTGATTCGGTTGCGAGGGGTCCGGATGTTTTGTATCATAAGCATGTCCACAATTACACAGAACATGGTATACTGTTCGAAGTCAATTTTATTGGCTGGATTGTAGCTTCCCTGTGACTTTGTGGATGTTGGTATTCCTTTCGAAAACTACTTGTATATTTTCCTGTTGTTGTTTTTTGTTTTGTTTTTTAAAAATAAAGTCTCTGGATGTTATGTTTGTGCAGTTTGTCTGGGTTTCGTTGGTAATGTCTGATGCACAAGGATAGTGTTTTAACGAAAACTTGTTTCAGATGATAGCGTTTGGAAGGCAAGATGCAATGGGGTTGAACCGATGCTATAAGCTCGTCGTGTTAGATTCGATATTTGTTATGTCTCTTAATCTATACTCTGAATATCACTTGCTTGATAACGGTGTTAGAGCCTACACTAAACCGTCAATCCTATTGTCCAATCATGTATTGTCCAATCATGTATACCTCTCAAAAGTTCAAATGATGTACTTTTATTCCACATTCCTGTCCAGGAATATATATGTATTTTATCGCAGCGAATAGCTTCAGTATAGCTGATGCGGCTTCTTCTTTTACGAGTCTTTAGGTACTTAAATGATGACTTCAGACTCGATGCTTACACGGAATTGGATATACTGACACACTTGTTTTATATCCATGTGTCGCTAGTAGTCTATAGCCGAGTTTCAATTTCTATTAAATAATATAATTCTTAATGTAATGTTTTGTTTGTAATATTAAATTGGATTGTTTAATACCTAATCTGTGATTATCAAAATACTGCTTTTCTGTCCTTTGTAGAAAGATATAATTTTATGGTCAACTTATTCTCATCGCGATATGGCTGCAATATTGCCAAATGCGATGTAAAACTCACTCACTCACTAACGAAACACATCAATCATAAAAGACGAGACTGCGGTGAAAATTATATAATAGATCGCTGAAAATCAGTAATGAGACTATGTCTTCGCGAAAACGTTAAGGGTAGCTTACTAATGTCCTTCTATACAGATACGTTCGATTCCCCACATGGGTACAATGAGTGAAGCCCATTTCTGGTGTTCCCGCCGTGATATTGCTGGAAAATTGCTAAAAGCGGAGTAAAACCAAACTCACTCACTTATACAGACACAAAACATGGTTGTCCGAATCAACATGCAACGACAACCAGAGACATTCTGTCCCACCCACCTTACTGAGTATGGTTTTACGCTGCTTTTAGAAATATTCAAGCAATATCACGGCAGGGGACACAAATCTTAGCTTTCCAAACTTATAGGTCGTCTCCTGAAACACCCACCGCAAGGACCAAAAACGTGCGAAGACACCCTTGGGCACAACCAGTCTGTTTGTAACCGGTACGCAGAGAGGAGTTCATTAACGTAAAAGTGAAACATGAAAGTATGGATCTTTCCATGAGGTTATTTGAACAACCCACAGGCAATACGATGACATTTCCGACGCGACAATGTCACTTTAGGTTTCTAGCCTCCGTTAACCATCCATTAAGATTCTTGCCTTATCTATCTCGGTTTGATTATCTCACCCTTCGGCTTCCACTCTCAGATAATTGCTGGGTTTCACAACTTTGAAACATAAAGTACATTTCATTGTAACTGTATACAATTACCGACCAACAGGTGTGCTGAGATTTTGAGAGGATCATTTCCGGTAACATACACAGTAGCCGGAGTGAAAACATGTATGGTTTTTTTCTGTATTTGGAAGCGAATGTTAAGCATTACAAAGGGAGAAAAAGGATGACATTATAAGTTACAGTAGAAATGAAGCATATTACTCTTCCTTGTGATGCAGATATTCGTAATGTGACATTAGAGACAATACATTCACCAATTATACCAACTCAGGAGAGAAACGTCCGCAAGGCCTGAACTAAGAAACAGCTAGTGAGAAAAATGCGACCAACATTTGACATGGATAAAAGGTCAGCGCCAGAGAAAAGCCAGTTTCGAAACAGATTCCACTGGCAAAGTATCAGCGAAAAATATAATGGATCACTGAAACTTAAGGACGATACACGGTGTTTGTGAAAGGGGAAGCACAAACACCCCTCATTAATTCACAAGTGTTTGGTTGTTGCCACAAGACATGACTGACTGACTGACTGAGTATGGTTTTACGCCGCCTTTAGTAATATTCCAACAATATCACGGCGGGGGACACCAGAAATGGACTTCACACATTGTACCCATGTGGGGAATCGAACCCGGACCTTCGGCGTGACGAACAAACGATTTAACCACTAGGCTACTCCACCGCCCCCACGAAACATGAACATTTGATGTGTAGAGATGAGAATAGCGTGTAATAATTTGGCGTGCCAATTAAGCGACAAATGACAAATCTAATTCTTATGCTCGTGTAGATGTTAGTACCACTGAGCAGCCATGCCGCAGTTTAACATGGATTGCTTATGATAAGAAATGCTATCTTTTCAAAGCCTATTTATTTGGCGCGGTGTGGGGATAAAACCATTAAACTTCCTTTTTGTGTTAGTTGAATTTGGAATTAGAAAGTGTAATCCCTAATATATCTTGTGTACATTGGACCACTTTCAGAAAGTCATTGTGTATTCATAGCTTCCCATTGTGTATTCATAGCGAGTTGGTACCTCACTCTGGGAGTGTGGGTTGGAATCCCAAAGGACTAAACCCCAAAGCATTTGTATTTTTGCACTCACTCATTTTATAATCAGCTCTGATTGTTTGTATCATTTTTTTTATTCATGACCTGTATCGTTAAGTGACACGTTATGGTTCTTGTGTGTTACGGGGCGGTGGGATAGTCTAGTGGTTAAAGCGTTGGCTCGTCACGCCGAAGACCCGGGTTCGAATCCCCACATGGGTAAAATGTGTGGAGCCCATTTCTGGTGTTCCCCCGCCGTGATGTAGCTGGAATATTGCTAAAAGCGGCGTAAAACCAAACTCAGTCAATCAGTCTTGTGTGTTACAGAGTGCGATGTGTACGGGAAGATGATGACAACATATGACAGCTTGGCAATAGGTGGTCACAACCATTTATGATATACTCACTTACCCGAAGATGAATGCATTCGCCGGTGTGTGAACTAATCTAAATGTTTATGCTTAAGCGCTGAAATGACTAAAACCTATCGCACTTGTTACCTCTCGGAGTTTGGGTATCTCGACGACCTCATAGAATACAGAGCAAGTGAAGTGGATGCTTATTATGTTGGAACAAGAGATTGTGAAACGCGTTAATATATAGCAGCAAACAAAACGTCAGTGCGAATTCAAAATGAGATAGGTACTGTAATCAAATCATTACAGAAATGGACATAGTAAGCGGATCAAAAACTTTTTTGTGTACAATATTTCGACACATCAATGAATAACTCAGCACAATTTCAAGACATTACGTTATCGTTTGCAGTCCATTCAGACTCTTGACTTCACTATCCAGTGTGAACACCACGAGCGGCAATAACTGCAGCACAGCGTCTATGCATGGAGTGCACCAATCGATTGATGAAGGCCATTGGCACCTGGAACCACACTCTGAGAAAGGCCTGGCGCAATAAATCGGCTGTGTTCGGCCTTGGTATGACATTATTCAGTCTCATCTGAATTTCAACCGTATATTGTTTTTAGATGTTATGAGTAACTTATATTTCAAATTTGAACGAAATCGGGGAAGAAATGGATTTTTAGAAAATTCTCCCCCTACACTC